GTTCTGGATAAAATTTGGCATGCTTCCACTAAACTTGTTATCACCAATACGACTGCATATTAATAAAAACAAGTCTTAAGTAAAAAATTTCAAGATTGAAAATGGAAAAACTAAACGAAATGAAGTAACTTACAAGTCTTTCAATGTAGACAATTTTGCTAGAGTAGCAGGCAATTCCCCAGTTAGATTGTTTGACGTCAATAGTCTTCACATATTAACATTACACAACAACAAATCAAAATCCACAATAATAAGCAAAGAAACTATCTAAAAATTCAGGGGAATAAAATAAAATTCGTAATTATTCCAGTAAAAGGGCCTTACATTCTCAGTATGCTTGAAAAATTCCCAAACTCAGGAGGAATATTTCCAGACAATTGATTGAACTCCAGGACTCTGAGAGTTTCAAAAAACAAAAGAGAATTCTTAAATAACATATCAATTGAATCAAAATTCTACTTATATAAAAGGGAGTAAAGTGAAATGGTAATCAGGAAAGTTTACAGATCCGAGAGAGTACTGATGTTGGCAACTTCGCCCGGTATTGGACCTGTAATACGATTGCCCAGTAGGGAACTGCAATGAACCAAAATTATGTTAGTACTAGAGCCCAAGAATTGCTTTACAAATATACATATACAGAAAATATGAATTACAGAAAGAAATGGGGAGGTGAAGTGTCATACATGTTTACAAGTTGTTGCATGGTACCACATTCTCGAGGGATGGTGCCGTTGAGGTAGTTGCGAGAGAGGTCACTATGTAAAATGACATTCAAATATGTTGACAGTTTAGTTAACTATACTGTATTGTGTGCGTTTTCAGAATGTCATATGACGTTCTATTATTGGATTGTTTAAAAAATAGTTATCGTTGTCATCCAATCATTTTTTGCCATCAAATATGTTAAAAACATATGGCGCGCAGAACAGCATTATTCTTTCTATAACAGAAAGGAACACAGTGAACTTACATTGTCTGGAGGTAAGGGAGTCTGACCAGTTCTCCGGGTACAGTCCCTTGAAGAGATTGAGATTTTAGAGCACTGCATTTCAAAACACAAAGTTAGAGGAAGAGACGTTTTTATTTTACTCATAATTTATTGTCACCTAGATTGCATTACTCGACTAACCGTTCAGTTGAAAAAATTGTTTTGGACGGGTTATAATCATGACTCAAATCGGCTTTATTTTTAAGCTAACTTGACTGGTAGTGACTGGCTTTTAAACCTAAAAACTGTAACCGTGTACTTTATATTTTTTGATTCTTACGGCAAAATTTTATTTTCCACGGGATGATGATTTTTTTTTTTTTTTTGAAGTTTAGTTTAGTTCGCCTAGTGACATGCATTGGCTCGATATTAATAACTTCTAAATGCGCGTTCATATTTTTCTTTCAATATTTAATTACTTTAAGCTGGCCGAAAAATGTCCCGAAGGAATTGAGAGTGCTAAAAATGGAGGACAGAATTATTATTTTCTTTTTAAAATATAAAATTGTCATTACTGTGAATAACAAACAAGAAACTTATTATTTTGTTAACTTTAAATTTCTGTACGGCCCTAACTTTGCTTGGACTTGAAAGATTTTACAATATTCTTTTGTAAATCTAAAGAATTCAACTCGACTTAAAATGAGATGTCACATTGATACACGAAAATTCAACTAGAGTGAACTCAAACATTGGACACGTAGAAATATTCGAAGTACGAAACTATATTTAAAAAGACTCCTTGTAAAGAGGAAAAAAAATGAGTTTTTTTTTTTGTCAAATTTGATCTTAAATGCTTAAACGCATTAAGGATATTTTTAATCGCACATTTTATTGGATTCCTAACTTTTATCCATTTTTTCACTGCATGGGATCCACGAACTTTCATCCTTTAATATGATTATGCATTGAGAAGAAATTAATATACACTTACATGGTGACTACATGGCAAATGGTGTTATTAACAAAGGTGCAGTTGCAGATTACTGCATTCTCAGATCCTTCAGGTGCATTAGGGATACTCCAATTCCCTCCTTCGCTGCAAGGATCCACATCAAAATTCCAGTTCTTCCCTAATGTCTTTCCTATTTGCTTCAACGCATCCACTGCAAAAATTTTATAATAAAAAGTGACTACTTTCTTCCAAGAAAAAGAAAAGAAGAAGCAAGAACCAGCAGAATATTGTATTGTACCTTCATCAGGGGCCAAAGTCGCGGAGCAGCCAAGATTCACCGAGTAAATTACTATTGTTAGAGAAACTAGCACGAGGCGTGAGCAGAACATGGTTCGATTGGACCAGGAAATAAAGAGCCAAATCCGAGATAAGTCGACGTTTTCGGCGGAAGAAATGTTATAATATGATCATGCTTTTCTAGAGTAATAAAACGGGATAGAGAAAATGCCTCGATAATCAAGATGTTAGAATGTATAGATAATATAGCTAGCTTATCTATTGTGTATAAGGCAATAAACATATCAGCTAGAGATGTAAATATTCCATAAGCAAGAGAACCTATCCAGCGCCAGCCCGTGATTGCACATGGTTAGGTGCACAATTATTCTTTCTGTTGTAGTTTGTTAGGATCATCGTTTACCCTTTTACCCCCTCATTCCTTCTATATATACACTCTTGTACTGATGATAGGAAGTAAGATGAATTTATTGATTCAATTGTAATCAAATAGTTTCCATCATCATCTTCATCCGGCTGCATTATTTCTCTCTTTATAATTCCTATTCAGCTACAAAATCTTACATGGTATCAGAGCCATGACCACCATTGCTGAAATGAATCTGCTAGAAACACCACCCCTGTTCAAATTCCTAACCTTTCTGGATATTACAAGCTGGAGAACTCATATAATCCAGGAGCTATTCTGGTGACAGAGTTACTAACCACGGAAAACTATTCTACCTGGTCAAGGGCACTCCGAGCTAAAAACAAGCTCGGTTTCATCAATGGAACATTGCCTAAACCTGAAGCAAGCAGTGCCTCTTTACATCCATGGGAAAGATGTAATGACATGGTAGTGTCATGGATCCAAAATGCCATATCTCCCTCCCTTAGATCCAGTGTTGAATTTATGGATAAGGCAAGTGAGATATGGGCGGAGCTTAAGGATCGATTTACTTAACAAAATGGACCCAGGATATATGAATTAAAGAAGGCATTGGCTGATCTGGAGCAATAAGGTAATTCTGTGAGCATTTACTATGGTAAGTTCAAGACCATTTGGGATGAATTGTCAGCTTATAATCCCATTCTTGAATGTAGCTGTGGTCAATTGAGATGCTGGTGGATAGACACCAGCGTGATTGTGTAATTAAATTCCTAATGGGGCTAAATGAAATTTATGATAATACAAGAGCTCAAGTGATGATACTTGATCCTCTTCCACCAGTGAATAAGGTGTTTTCCTACATACAGCTACAGGAGAGACAGAAGCAAATCACATATACTGTTGTGAACAATGAAGCCATTACAATGGCAACTAGGAGGTCCTATGGAGACAACAAAACCATCAGCTATGGAAAATCGAATTTCACTGTGAAAATGGACAGACCATATTGCACATATTGTAAAATCCCAAGACACAATTTGGATAAGTGTTTTAAGGTAGGAAATACTGAGCCTCCTGTCTGCACACACTGCAACATGACAGGATACACTATAGAGAAGTGTTTTAAGCTGTACGGTTACCCTCTAAATCATAAGTTTCACAAAGGCCAGAAAAGAGATGGGAGTTTTGCAAATCAATCAAGTGTGATGCTGGAAGAAAGTGAGAGGCCAGTTTCTCTAACTAAGGGAGAGTATCAAAAGTTCATTGCCTTGCTTCAATCTAAGGATAACACACAGATCAACCATTCTGTCAATCATGTGCAGACCATTGATCACTTAAAATCTAAACCTTAGTCTGACTTATCTGGTAAAGCCACTTGTTTATTTGTTGCACCCACAATCTCTCAGAATTCTGCTCATATTCCTTAGATTATTGACACTGGTGCAACAGATCATATGATCTGTGACACCAGCCTTTTTACCTCCATCAAAGCAAGAACCTCTCTCTCAGTAAAATTACCCACTAGGGAGGTGGTTCCAGCTACACATTCTGGTGAAGTACAAGTCACAGATTTTTTACTCCTCAAGGATGTGTTTATATGTTCCCAATTTCCACTTCAATTTACTATCTGTCAAAAGGTTGACACGTCAGATCCCTTGTTGCATGATATTCATGTCTGATACTTGTTTTGTGCAGGACCTTTTATCTTGGAGGACGATTGGGAAGGGTGAAGTTTGGAATGGCCTATATCGACTCATGCTACACAAAGTTCCATCCACAGCCTTAGTAACCACCCTATCAGCTCTTAACCTTAGACATCATTTTACATCAGCTTCTGTTATTAGTTCTGATGTTCAGCCATACTTATGGCACTATCGATTAGGACACATATCTGATTCCAAAATGAAACTCATTCCTGATACCTCTGTTATTTCTCGTTTCAAGAATGATAATAAAATTCCATGTTTTATCTGTCCATTGGCAAAACAACACAAGAATCATTTTCCCATAAATTCACATAAAACTAAACAAATCTTTGATATCATCCATTGTGACATCTGGGGTCCCTGCCCCACCACAGATCATGATGGATCCAAATATTTTCTTTCAGTAGTAGATGATTTTTCACGAGCCACTTGGGTGTATTTGCTTAAAAGAAAATCCGATGTTAGTCTTTCAATTAAGGCATTCATCCAAATGATAGAAAACTAGTTCCAAGTCTCAGTTAAAGTTTTGAGAAGTGACAATGGGCCTGAGTTTAAACTAACTAAATTTTACAACCTAAAAGGGATCATTCATCAAAGAAGTTGTCTTGAGACCCCTCAACAAAACGGTATAGTTGAAAGAAAACATCATCATTTAATGAATGTTTCAAGAGCCTTGAAGTTTCAATCAGGCTTACCTCTGTTTTACTAGAATGAATTCATTCTCACAGCAACATACCTGATAAATAGAGGTCCCACACCATTGCTGCAAAACAAGTCACCTTTTGAAGTGTTGTTCAAGTGTAAACCAATATATTCACATCTTGGATTCTTGGATGCCTTTGCTTTGCTTCCACTTTAACACGCGGGACAAGAAAATTTGATCCTAGAGGATGCCAGTGTGTTTTCTTGGGTTACCCTTTTCGAGTGAAAGGATACAAAGTGATGGATTTACATCAAAAACCATATTTATATCTAGGGATGTAGCATTTCATGAAGCTCATTTTCCTTACAAACCGTCTGAAAAACTCATTGACAAGGCTAAATTTGTCTTTACCAAGCTACTTCCTGACATTGCTAATTACATTCATGAATCAACATCAGATGAAACACCTAGTTTATCTAGTTCTAATATACCTGATCAGACCATTCCCAATAGTCCTACACCAGATGATAGTCTTCAAACATCACCCATCATTAGAAAATCCACAAGAGTCAAGAAAGTACCCCAGTACTTGCAAGATTTTCACTGTCACCGAGCTACATCAAATCATCAATCCCAATCTGTCTTCAAGACAGGGTCTCCAGCCTTTGCATGTAATGCTTTTCCACTCTCTAACACTATTTTTTACTACAAATTATCACCTCGGTTCAAAGC